ACAGATGATTTTGGGATAATTCGGGAGAGGCCCTAATATTTTAGCTTTCGGCTAGACAATTTTCAGTGTCATTCACCCTGACTTGTGACGAATCAGTCAAGAAATTAAGCAACCAGGCTAGAAAAAGATAACACTTTAGACTCTTTATTGGATAAAGTTTCAGGATCAGTGAGAAGTTTTTGAAATTAAAGTGTGAAGGACAGACGTGTATCTCGGCCTGAAGTAGGTTTTTTACCTTTTTCTTTCATGGAATATGAGATTTGCATGGAAATTTAAAATATTAACTTGATAATCCTTTAAGTATTTTAAACATAAGAACCTGTTTATATCCATTGCCTTTGTCACCTCTGCTCCAAATGTTTTTTTGAAATGACAAACAGGTCAGAAAAAATAACTTGAATTTGTTAGAGTTCATTGGTGTTGGAAGGTCACAGCTTTACATAAACCGGAGATTTAAAATTTGTCATAAAGTTTTCCGGTTTCGTGCAATTTTTTTATATTTTATTTTTGAAGCAGCCCTATGCTGACGTCTAACTGCAAATAGGTTATTATTTTTATTATCCCCTTTTCTCCCTTACATGTTGCCACTACTTCTCAGCTCAAAAGGTAAAATATTTCACATGTCAAATTCTCTCATGTTTCTTTAAGTCCTTCACGTTTCGCTCTCAGTTTTCCATCCGTGCAGTCTTCTGCTTCACTCTTTGACCGTTTCTACTTTTTTTCTCACACTGAATGATTTCTGCTTATTGCACCTTAACTTAGTTTTTTTTTTTTATCTCTGAAATTCTCCCTCTTTTGCCATGCTCTCTGCCTGTGTAGGCCTCAGGAAGTGGGTGTGCGCCGTGTGTTGAATTGGTTTAGGGGAGAGAGAGGTAAAGAGAGGAGGGGGAAGGGAGGATACTGATTAAAATAATAAACAGCTGTGTGATAGACTGGGGCTAGTGACCAGTGAGATCAAGAGCAACAGAGAGAAGGGGAGAGGATTCAGGATGCCAACTTGGAAGTTTGCTGGACCCTGAATTGGGTTGATTCTAAGGAAGTTTCTTCATCTCAGCTCAGCTACTTCTATTTTAACTTTTTTTTTTCTACAGTCATCGAGGGTAATCAGCAGATCTCAGCCTCTAGAAGCCACAAAGTCGGAGTCCTTGTACCAGATTGTGACGCAGAGCCTTTAGGCAGCTCGCCGCGAACATGTGTCTCCAACAAGAAGAAGAAGAAGAAGGCATTCTTTGACTAAGTGGCCCAGCCATGGCAGTGATTAGGAGGGTGTGATGGAATGAGACCATACTGGAGTTTGAGACCTGACGGGCAGCTAGTGGGAGAGACGCTGAGGTAGCTGCTTGAGACTTCACTGAGGGGAAGAGAAAAAGCAGCCCATGTGCTTCTTTGTATCAATGACTCTCTTCTTGAAGTGCTTGCGGTTGCGTAGCTGGCAGGAATGAAGTGCTTTTTATCTCGATAATTGAGGACAACCACCCCGGCCCCGCCCTGGATTGGACAGCTGGACATGGTGTAAACAGCTTCCTTCATGCCCAGAAGGGAAGTGGAGGCAGGGAAGCATAACGGGGTGGAAGGAGAAACGCCAGCCCCAAAAACCGCACAGGTTCACAGAAGCCGACTTGTTCCTCAAGAGACGAGTTGTTACCTCCTCCCTGCAGACCTCCACCCAAGATTTCTTGGATTTCCCCCTTCGGTTTCAGTGCCTCATTCGTGGCCACCGGAAGTCAAGTGTCAGCCTCCAGCTGTGACTTTATTAAACCTCCAGTGGCACTAGTCGTCTTGAGGTCCAAGTCCCAGCATGACTGCAGGGCAACTCTAACCCTCTCCACTCAGCTGTGTGCCCGCCAGAGGAGGATGCTACTACTGCCATGGGTTGGGATTGGGCGAGCACACACACCAGCACACGTACGCGAGTGCTGCCAAGTGTGTAAGTCGCCTGTTTCTGGACTGCAACCTGGATTAGACCCTCTGATGCTGAAGCTTTTCTTAAACACAAAGTTTATTTCTCACGGGATCCAAGTTTGCTCAGATCTTGGAATTACTAATGATCTTATTCCTGACGTTGGAGGATTGTACTTTGGTAATAACCACTGGAGAACTTGCCAGATTGTTCTTGGTCTTTAATATTCTGCGGCCACTTTGACTGAGAAGATGTAGAGACTGCAGTGAGTGGGAGGAGCCACAGCACACTCTCGAGAATGATTGGCTTGAACTTCAGTTTGCATGAGCTGCTTGGAAAGTTTGAACAGGTACACATCAATAAATAACTATTCTTTTATTTCACTTGAGTTTTGTGTTTAAGCAGCATTCACGTGAATTATCAAAACAATTTTTTCTTCTGTATATTTGCTGCATTGTGATTGTTATGATGGTCCAGCTGTCTATTGGACTTTTTAAGTGCAAAGTTGCCAATTTGAATCAAAATTAGACCTGCAGTTTATTCACTTATTTAGTGCCAATGTTATGATGGGGTATGGTCAATATTTCCATTTCCTGCTTTTGATGTCATTTAATGTTTAGTTCCTGGAGTCCTTAAATCTTGGGTTAAAATCTAGTTTTAGAGCTTTGGTTTTAATGCTTTGTTTTTCTTTTAAGTATATGTTTTTACATGTGGAACTTGTTTAAAATCAAGATTTTTACAAAAAGCACTGATATCTTGCCAGATTGCTACCACTGCATCCTTATGCCTGTAACGCTTTCACATGCAAGTAAAATGCTTTCCTTGTTGTGCTGATCTGAGACCATTTGTGGGGACTTAAAACTCTGTATGCTAGTCAGTAACTCACTGATAACATTCATATAGTAGTAAACAGAGGCCAATTGTTGCTGACTTGATGACCCGTGGCACATAAATGTTTTTTTTTTGCGTCCGCGTGTGGAGAGAAAATGATCTGTCACTACATTGCGAGCCCCTCAGGAAGCACATTGACATACATAAACTCCTGCCTCCAAGTAGTCATTCACTGGGAGAAATGAAATTTAAAGGCTGCTTTGTAAATTAATATGTCTGCCTCTGCGTGCCCTCACAGTCTGTGTTCTGTCTTGAGTCTTGAATTCATTTATGTGGTTGTGTGTGTGTGTGTGTAGTCGTCTTTTTATTTTATTTTTTATTTATTTTTATGTGGAAACTGAAGTGCAAAAGAAGAAGGAAAGGGAAGCACTTGGGTAATGACTTGAAACGTAGCCAGCTGGCTTTGTTGGAGGGTGTTTTTCTGTCTTTTACTTTAACTGTGTCCATCTAGCTTTCCATCACTCATCCTTAAGGTCTTTGTCTACGCATCTTCACCCCTGGTGTCTCATTGCTCTTCCCTTGACCTTTTAGAGTAGTGCCTTTTCTAGGTTATTATCTCTGTAGATCACATCAGTAGGATTGGTTAAATGTCTATTGATAATCAGTAAATTACAGCATGTTCGATTCAGTTAGTTTTGTGGGAGGTGTTTCTGGACTTTTTGTTTACTCACAAAAACAATTTAAGCTTTTTGAAGTTCATTTTCCATGGTTTTGTTCTTCTGTGATGTGTGACAGTGCAGCCCAGGTAATCACAACTTTATAAACCCCCATACTTATGTTGGGGCCTTCATATTTCACAGCACATCTCTTTGGTGCTGTGGATTTTCAGATTGAGACTCAAGGATCAGGTGTTCTGGTCTCTCAGATGTCTGTTTGGATCAGGTTCTGCAGTGAATCGTTGCCATGTCAACACCTTGGATGCTTTTACCAGTTGTCCTTATCTGGGCGTGCACATTGACTTGACTTTAATTGATGTTCTCACCAGGAGTATCATGATATTTTGTGTCAACAAGAATGAAGCAAAGTTAAGCTTTAGTAGTAGCTTGAGAAATGAAAAAATCCCCATTTTGTTGTTTTTCACAAATGGAGTAAAGATTTAAAAAAATCCCAAATTGTGGGATATGATTAGAAATGTGTTGCTGATTTCCGCTGTTTTTTTGTAAAGCTCTAACTTCTGATGCCAACTGTTCCTGATTTCTCTTTAAGAACAGTAAACTACTACATTTGAAATAGTTAATAGCTTTAGTCCTGTGAGAGGGGATTAATTATTAATATAAGAAGAAATCTGATAATCTGAAACAGTGCTTTATTCATTTAAGATTAAAACTGTTTGGCGAGTGTACTAGCATTTGGGAAATTGTAGTTTACTTGTTGCAAACCTGAGAAACGGTACTTTTTCCATGCTTCCACGAATAATGGCTCAGTGCAAATGACATACAAGTATCAGCTAATGATTGGTAATTTCCCACTTACTGTCCATTATTAGCATTATAGTCCTCCAATGTAATGAGACCGTATGTCTCGTTGCTACTCCCTTTATCTACACTAATTTTGTCCCAAATCCAAATCTGCCTCAGTGCTCCAGGCAGTTCTACTGTCATCCACACTGTTTTTGGAGTCTTTATCTTCATTTGGGTTGAGCCAAGTTGAACGAGCTGAGGGGAGTCCCAGCTGAGAGAGAGAGAGAGGAAAATGGAGCAGTTTTACACATCTAAAAATAAAACGTTTGACAGAATCCTCTGCCTACGTCAGCCTCCCTTGTGGTTCAACATTTTCACACAAATGCTCTTTGAGTTCTGGTTGTGTAACAAATCTGCTCTGTTTAGCACATACTGTTGATTGTGATTGCGTGCTGCAAATGCACAGCATGAGTAATAACCATTATGTTGCAAAAACCTGATCAAACATACATGCATGCAGCCAAACCTTCTATAGAAATTTGCTTCTGGTCTGGGCTCACTTGCCAGTGCAGTAAAAGAGTAAATGTTAAACTTCTTGAACTCAGAGTCCCTTGTGAAACTTTTCTTCCCTCTGAAAATGTGTGCAGTGTCCCATAAACTCATTCGAGGCTAATCTGTGCATGAAAATCCAATATTATTGGCTTTGACAGTCTAGAGGTAGCTGCAAAATCCAATGTGGGGTAAAACGAAGAAAACTTTCTGCTTAATTATTAATTTTTTAATTGAGAAAATCTTTTTCTGTTTTGCAGGACATCCAGGCAGAAATTGATGCCCACAATGACATCTACAAGAGTGTGGATGGGAACAAATCGAAGATGGTCAAAGCTCTGGGCAACTCGGAGGAAGCTGTGTTCCTCCAGCATAGGCTAGATGACATGAACCAACGCTGGAGTGACCTCAAGGCCAAATCAGCCAACATCCGGTAATTAGAAAACCGTCCAACCCTCATTAAGGTAGTAGAAGAAAATGTCATGTCCATTCAGAAAGGCCTGTGCAGCCAAAATCCTACAGCCAGCTCCAAAAGACGCAACATCACAGAGCTATCCGACTCCGATTCATTGGTCAGCTGACCAGTAAATCATGTCGGTGACGAAATGAGTTAAAATTAGAATTTTGTAACTAAATACCAAGGCAACAAGCACTTGCTGTCTACTGATAGCCAAATAGTTTCAGAGAATTCATTTTTTCTTTGACTCCTTGTGTGAGGTTGTGCCTAGCAACCTCCAAATAAACAGTACACTGGGAAACAGGGTTAGTTAAAATGCTGCTTGGCTTGTTGTTTAGCATCCAAAGTTATTTTGCAGAAAGCATATTCATGATACTATTATAGAATATGACAGAAACATAATTAATAACACAAATTCCCGAAAAAGTTTCCTATGTTGACATTGGTTCAGATGTTTTCTTGGAGTCAGACTGGTGATCCATAGGGTTTAGAGCACTTAGCTTTGTTTTCTATGTTTTCCCCTGCAGTGCCTTGCAGAAGTATTTTCTTGAACTGTACGCTTACATCCATTTTATCAGTGCATTTGAAAAAAGCACATAATTGTGAAGTGGAAAGAAAAAGATCCACCGTTTTGAAAATATCTTAAAAATGAAAACAGGAAATAAGTAGCATGTAGCATTTGTCCTCCAAATCAGTACTTTGCAGAAGTACTGATTTGCACTGCAGTTACCACTGCTGTTTGGTTGTGGTATGTCTCTACCAGCCTGTCATATCCAGCAAATGTTTGTTCATTCTTCCTTTAAAATCGCTCAGCCTGGATGGAGAGCATCTGTGAACATCGGTTTTCCGCAGTACTCTCAGCAAAAGTTGGACTTTGGTCTAATCTCAGAGCACTGTTTTTTATATAACAAACAGTGAAAGAGGCTCTTAGAGCATTTTTTTTTCTACCACCAAAGGCAGCATTTCTGAGCTAAACAATAGTTCTGTTAACAGATACAACCCGTGACTCCTCTATAGTTACCTTTAGCCTAAAAAATATGAAAAATAATGGATAATTTTGTCTGTGGTACTCTGTTTTGGTCTTTCACATATAATCCAAATAAAACCCACTGTAATCGGGGTTTTCAGCATGACTGAACTTGAAAATGTTCAGCAAGAATAAATACTTTTCAAGGTGTAAATAAATCACTTTGCATCAGCTGCTGTGATTACGCACACCAGTGTGGCTCAAGGATGGATGAAAGTATGGCTTCTATTACCTCCCAAGGAAAAACCTGAATAAAATATGCCACTCTTTGTTCTGGTAGGTGAAGTTAAGCCAGCCTTATCCTTTTCATGTTTTTAAATGTCAAACTTAAGTAAAAAAAAAAAAAGCTTTTTTTCTTCATTTAAAAAAAAAAAACCTAAACAAAGTTGTGCAGTATGCAAAATGCAAAAACCTTCCTGAAAGACCAGAGTCTTTTAGGAAGCTGTATAAACGCAAATAACTCTGTGCCAGCCACAAGTCTGGCATAAATAAAATGGATCATCAGTGTGCACAAGTGTTGATGCTGAAGAAAGTGAGGGTAGAAGTGGAGATGACAGGAGCCAGATGGAGACGTTCAAAGTCCAAATGGAGGAGTGGGAAACGAAAGAAGCAGCACAGCAGAGCCACAGTTGCAGGCAGGAAATGTTAGAATGACTAAAGAGAAAAATATAACCTGCTGGAGGTGATTCTGAATTTAGACTAGACTTAGTTCAGAAACATGAGACTAACTGAGTCTCATTTGCCTTCATGCATAGGAGGGGGGGCAGACAGTGCCTGATTGTGTATAATATACAGCCCATTATGGCTTAATTGCAGTACATTTGTAATTAAAGGTACCTTGTTGGGTAGCAATAGGAGCAACATTACGCTCAAAGGGGAGGAGAAAAAGAAGAATTGCTTCCCAGCATCCTTAGTACACAGATAGCTGCTAATTAAAGTGGGCTCCTGCCCACTCAGTACACCCAGCAGCTTCTATTCAATAAACAGGTTTAAGTCACCCACTGAAGTTTGCAAAATGTAAATCTAAACGGGCATCGAGGAAAACAGACACAGATCTATACTATAAATTTGTGCAGAATTGAAGCTTACATTTTTTACACTAAGTGAAGTGTTTTCGCTATTTATTTATTTCATTAAACTTATTTTAAGCCATTGTATTTAAGATTTAAATATGGCCAAAAACGCTTTTTTTTTTTTTTTTTTTTTTTTTTTAAATTTTATATATATAAAAAAAATTTTAAAAAAAAAAAAAAAAAA